CTTGTCTCCAGCTGTTAATGGCTGCAGATGGCCAGTCAGAGCAGGAATGCATTCTTTGCTGACCCTTCAATGGGTGGCAGCACAGGAACCCCAGCATTCTGTTACGGGCTCTAAGGTACAGGATCATTTAGGGTCATAGAGATGTACAGCACGGAAATAGACCCTACAGTCCAACTTGTCCATGCCGACCAGATATCCTAAATTAGTCTAGTCCCACTTGTCAGCATTTGGCCCATATAGAACATAGAACATTACAGCGCAGGACAGGCCCTTCGGCCCTCGATGTTGCGCCGACCTGTGAAACCAATCTGAAGCCCATCTAACCTAAACTATTCCATTATCATATGTTTATCCAATGACCATTTAAATGCCCTTAAAGCTGGCGAGTTTACTACTTTTGCAGGCAGGGCATTCCATGCCCTTACTACTCTCGGAGTAAAGAACCTACCTCTGACATCTGTCCTATATCTATTACCCCTCAATTTAAAGCTATGTCCCCTCGTGCGAGCCATCACCATCCGAGGAAAAAGGCTTCGACTGTCCACCCTATCTAATCCTCTGATCATCTTGTATGTCTCTATTAAGTCACCTCTTAACCTTCTTCTCTCTAACGAAAACAGCCTCAAGTCCCTCAGCCTTTCCTCATAAGACCTTCCCTCCATACCAGGCAACATCCTGGTAAATCTCCTCTGCACCCTTTCCAATGCTTCCACATCCTTCCTATAATCCTGTGACCAGAACTATACACAATACTCCAAGTGCGGCCGCACCAGAGTTTTGTACAGCTGCAACATGACCTCTTGGCTCCGAAACTCAATCCCTCTACCAATAAAACCTAACACATCGTACGCCTTCTTAACAACGCTATCAACCTGGGTGGCAACTTTCAGTGATCTATGCACATGGACACCGAGATCTCTCCGCTCATCCACACTACCAAGAATCTTACCATTAGCCTAGTACTCTGTATTCCTGTTACTCCTTCCAAAGTGAATCATCTCACACTTTTCCACATTAAACTCCATTTGCCACCTCTCAGCCCAGCTCTGCAGCTTATCTACGTCCCTCTGTAACCTGCAACATCCTTCCGCACTATCCACAACTCCACCGACTTTGGTGTCATCCGCAAATTTACTAACCCATCCTTCTACGCCCTCATCCAGGTCATTTATAAAAATGACAAACAGCAGTGGCCCCAAAACAGATCCTTGAGGTACACCACTAGTAACTAAACTCCAGGATGAACATTTCCCATCAACCACCACCCTCTGTCTTCTTACAGCTAGCCAATTTCTGATCCAAACCACTAAATCACCCTCAATCCCATGTCTCCGTATTTTCTGCAATAGCCTACCATGGGGAACCTTATCAAACGCTTTACTGAAATCCATATACACCACATCAACCGCTTTACCCTCATCCACCTGTTTGGTCACCTTCTCAAAGAACTCAATAAGGTTAGTGAGGCACGACCTACCCTCCACAAAACCGTGTTGACTATCCTTAATCAAATTATTCCTTTCTAGATGATTATAAATCCTATCTCTTATAATCCTTTCCAACACTTTACCCACAACCGAAGTAAGGCTCACTGGTCTATAATTACCAGGGTTGTCTCTACTCCCCTTCTTGAACAAGGGGACAACATTTGCTAGTCTCCAGTCTTCTGGCACTATTCCTGTAGACAATGACAACAAAGATCAAAGCCAAAGGCTCTGCAATCTCCTCTCTCGCTTCCCAGAGAATCCTAGGATAAATCCCATCCGGCCCAGGGGACTTATCTATTTTCACACCTTCCAGAATTGCTAACACCTCATCCTTATGAACCTCAATCCCGTCTAGTCTAATAGCCTGTATCTCAGTATTCTCCTCGACAACCTTGTCTTTTTCCTGTGTGAATACTGACGAAAAATATGCATTTAGCGCCTCTCCTATCTCTTCAGACTCCACGCACAACTTCCCACTACTGTCCTTGACTGGCCCTAATCTTACTCTAGTCATTCTTTTATTCCTGACATACCTATAGAAAGCTTTAGGGTTTTCCTTGATCCTACCTGCTAAAGACTTCTCATGTCCCCTCCTGGCTCTTAGCTCTCTCTTTAGGTCCTTCCTGGCTAACTTGTAACTCTCAAGCACCCTAACTGAGCCTTCACGCCTCATCTCTACATAAGCCTCCTTCTTCCTCTTGACAAGAGATTCAACTTCTTTAGTAAACCACGGTTCCCTCGCTCGACCAGTTCCTCCCTGCCTGACAGGTACATACTTCTCAAGGACACGCAGTAGCTGTTCCTTGAACAAGCTCCACATTTCAATTGTGCCCAGCCCCTGCAGTTTCCTCCTCCATCCTATGCATCCTAAATCTTGCCTAATTGCCTCATAATTGCCTTTCCCCCAGCTATAACTCCTGCCCTGCGGTATATACCTATCCCTTTCCATCGCTAAAGTAAACGTAACCGAATTGTGGTCACTATAACCAAAGTGCTCACATACCTCCAAATCTAACACCTGGCCTGGTTCATTACCCAGTACCAAATCCAATGTGGCCTCGCCTCTTGTTGGCCAATCTACATACTGTGTCAGGAAACCCTCCTGCACACACTGAACAAAAACTGACCCATCTAAAGTACTCAAACTATAGCGTTTCCAGTCAATATTTGGAAAGTTAAAGTCCCCCATAACAACTACCCTGTTACTTTCGCTCCTATCCAGAATCATCTTTGCAATCTTTTCCTCTACATCTCTGGAACTTTGAGGCCTATAGAAAACTCCCAACAGGGTGACCTCTCCTTTCCTGTTTCTAACCTCAGCCCATACTACCTCAGTAGACAAGTCGTCATCAAACGTCCTTTCTGCCACTGTAATACTGTCCTTGACTAACAATGCCACACCTCCCCCTCTTTGACCACCTTCCCTGATCTTACTGAAACATCTAAACCCCGAAACCTGCAACAACCATTCCTGTCCCTGCTCTATCCATGTCTCCGAAATGGCCACAACATCGAAGTCCCAGGTACCAACCCACGCTGCAAGTTCACCCACCTTATTCCGGATGCTCCTGGCATTGAAGTAGACACACTTCAAACCACCTTCCTGCCTGCCGGTACACTCCTGCGACCTTGAAACCTTATTCATATGAACATTATTCATATCTCTCAAAACCCTTCCTATTCATATATCCATCCAGATGCATTTTAAATGTTGTAATTGTACCAGGCTCCCCCACTTCCTCTGGCAGCTCATTCCATACATGCACCACTGTGTGGAAAAAACTGCCCCTTTGGTCTCTTTTAAATGTTTCCCTTCTCACCTTAAACATGTGCCATCTAGTTTTGGACTCCCCTACCCTGGGGAAATGACCTAGGCTATTCACCATATCCATGCCCCTTGAGATTTTATCAACTTCCATAAGGTCGCCCCAGCCTCCGATGCTCCAGGGAAAATAGCCCCAGCCTATTCAGCCTCTCGCTATAGCTCAAACCCTCCAACCCTGGCAACATTCTTGTAAATCTTTTCTGAACCGTTTCAAGTTTGAGATCCTGTATTTAATCAATTTCAGCAATTTTCAAATCAAGGTCAAGGACGGTCTCAAAATCTCCCCACCCCCAGCCTCATCCCATGTCCAACCCTCCCTCTCAATCCCGCCTCCTCGACCTGTCACGACCTGTCCATCTTCTCTCCCACCTAACCGCTCCTCCCACCTCACTGACCAATCCCCACCACTCCCTTCCTGTACTAACCTATCACCATCCTACCTACCTTCCCCAGCCCTAGCCCGCTTCTCTCTATTTATTTCTGAGCCCCCTTCCCCCTCCCCATTTCTGAAGAAGGGTCCTGACCCGAAACATCAACTTCCCTGCTCCTCTGATGCTGCCTGGCCTGTGTTCATCCAGTTCCACACTTATCTCTGACTCCAGCATCTGCAGTTCTGACTATCCCTCAAGAATGGATATGTTAGGTTTTTAAAATCAGTCTCTCATACTGTCAAGACAGACATCTAATGGTTAGCTGCAGAATCAAGATTCATTTATTTTGCTCCAAATATTTGTCTCAATCCCCAAATCTTAGTAGTGTTCCCATATACAAGTGCTATACTTTTGTATTTTCATACCATCTCTCTTGAATTAGAAGGTAAATTTTGGCAATTTAATGCATGTAAAGGAACTGGTATATTCTTACTCCAAAAACGTTAAGGTTTTTGTCATCTGTTACTACTCTCTGGACAAATGAGATTCAGTTTTGATCAAAACAGGATTCAATCTTCTCAGTTTAGTCACGAGTTACTCTGTAACAAGTAACAAATAAAATCCCACAGACCAAAGTGGGGGCTGGGTGGTGGTGTCCAAATCTCTTTGAATTCTTTGACAGGATCACAAAGTTTAAATTCATGAGTTTTCATTTAATGCATTGGTATTAAAAACGCTTTGGTATTAAAATATATACTTCCAGTAGAATATAGATTTTATGCACAATAAACAGGAGAGCGTGGGGGCAGCACTATGGCTCAGTGGTTAGCACTGCTGCTTCACAGCACTAGGGACCCGGCTTCAATTCCACCCTCGGGCGACTGTCTGTGTGGAGTTTGCACATTCTCACCGTGTCTGCGTGGTGCTCCAGTTTCCTCCCACAGTCCAAATATGTGCAGGCTAGGTGCAATAGCCATGGGACATGCAGGGTTACAGGGGTTGGCGTGGACTCAATGGGCTGAATTGGCCTGTTTCCACTTTGTAGGGATTCTATGAAACACAATCAAATCAATCAAGGTATTTGGTGTGATAGCCAAGATATTGGTTGGCCAGAGGTAAAAAAAAAACAAAAAACCCTGCAGATTACGGAAATCTGAAATAAATTCAGGGAATTCTGGATCCAGTCAGCACATCTGGCAACTGTTTCTCTTTGTACAGATATTAATGTTTAATTCACACAAGAGTGTTCACACTATTCTGCCTACTATAGATTAATTTATTTAACCACTATTTCACTTCTAATTCTGTTCACGTTACCTCTGATGAATCGTATGGGTCCAGTTTTCCCCATGGACTCCTTGCCCTGGGCATGCCGTTAACTGGTATCGATTCGATAGCCACGAGAAGGCTATCGCCCTGCTGCCCTTTGAGCGTCTGCTTCCAATGTTGCTCTTTCTCTACATTTGACGTTCCTGCTGGACTCATGTAGTCTGGTATTCCCAGTGCAGTTATGCTGTCTAGTTTTTCACGGCCCATTACATTTACTGCAGAATTCTCCTGGCAAGAACGTAAAGGATTTCTCTCACTGGTAGACTCTTTCATTATCCATTCTACTTCAGAATCGTCCGAGTCTTCCTTCAGAAAGTGAGCAAGCTAGTAGGGAGAATGGAAGCAAACATGGGAGGGGTTATAAGATGACCAGCATTAATGGAAGATCCCAGAAAGACAGATGGATAGATTGCGAGAAATGAAAAGGAGAGAACACATATTGGAAAGTGTGGAATAAAAATCAAAAAAGGTTATGCACAACAAAATCATGAATAAATGCATCATGAGAAATAAGGTTTTCATTTCAGAAGAAACAGCTTGATTTAATTTCAACTAAAATAGTGATTGACTGTGAAACTTGATTAATGTTGAACAATCACATCTACCACTCAGTATCACAGTACTTATACTAAAATGATAAAACACAAGATATTCAGGTTCAAGAACAAAGTGTATTAAAGTGGAAGGTGGCTGCTTATTATTCTGTTGCAGTTGAGAATTCTTTTCATAAACAAAATGCAAAACTAAGGTCCATAACATATTGTAGGCATGTATCATCATGATGCAAATCAGTTTCTGAAAACTCTAAAGATTGACAAGTCGGGTTTCATGCTTCTAATATATAATGAGACTTAGTGATAAAAATCCATTTGGGGAGGATGTCCTAATTATTTTTCAATTCAGAAATGTTAATACACATCTCTAGAACAGGTGGGACATGAACTCAGTCTCCTGTCAGGTGTAGGGACACTACCTCTGATCCACAGGGACCTTCCATTTGAAATACTGTCCTAATATTAATCACTTAAAACAGTCCCTTGAATGGATTTAGCAGTAAGCATACTACATGGTGAAGCAACAATCCACATACAATTATCATTCCTCTCTTGATGACTAACTCGCGCGGAGTTAACCAATCTTAGATAACAGTTGAAGATCTTACAATTGATCTCAGCTAAGGAAAATTGCTTCTAATTACTTTCAATGCTGCAATATTATGAAATCTTTCTGTATATTTTTAACAATCAACCAATAAAGACGAAAAAAAAAATCACCATAGTCCCAGAGGATCATGGGGCTGTGCTATCATTAGAGGGAGACGACTAGCAGTGGGTTTCACCGGAGGTTCAGTGCACCTCGGGTGGGAGGGTGGGGGAAATGTTTGAGGCGAGGCTTTCACGGTAACCTTGGGATGCCTGCAGAAAATCAACAGGATGATGCAAAAAGAGGGTTTTAGTTCATCCCTGCAGAATGACTAAGTAGACCCGAATGGTCTGATCTTATGAGAAAGTGCAAATGTGTCATGCCACGTGAGGACAGTTGTGCTACAACATAATGGGCCTGATTTTATTAATGTCGAAGTAAATGTGTTTGAGTGAATTAAAACCTTTGCCGATTGAATCAAATCACTTATAGAACAGAAGGAAACCGTTTGGCCTTTTGAGTCTATTCCAGCAGTTTGACTGTCTATCAACATGCACTGTTCAGTTAATACAAAAACAAACTCACTTGGCTGAAGTATCAAAGGCCAACTTATGGAAAGAAAAAGACTAATGGAGCTGGGGGCGTGACTGTTTATTGGCCATCTGAATAATCAATAACGTATCAGAATGACCTCTGTGTGGCTTTTTGAAACTAATGTCATTGCTCAGGTATGTCTCAAAAGAAGAAACATTGCTTGGGTCAACTCCTGTATTTACAAATCTCCGACTTCCAGTTTATAAACAACAACAAGTGTTAGACTCCAGATTTCAGATATCAGCCCTCAGAAAAAGGTATGTTGAGAATGATCTTGTCTGTCCCATGTAGAATAACCGTGGGACGCTGAGAGTGTGAAGGGTTGGAGACTGGAACTTTTGTGAAATTGGCCTCCTACACATTCGGTGAATATGCAGCATTCAGAATCGTACTGTTGTCATAGGGGAGAACTATCTCAGCCTCTGCAGCAAAGAAATGATCATAGAGAATTTAAAAGAATTAAATGTTAGAATTTTATGTAAAATGATTCAGATTAAAAGCATGTCCTTTAGGCTACAATTGTGAAGAAAGGATAGACATAAGTAAAATGGAAGGGATATGCACTTAGCAATGAGGTGATCATCTGATCAACAATGAGGGAATTTTATTATCTAATAGCAAACAAGATGTTACTATCCAACAAACCTTAAGAATGAGGAAATCATTAATATTGCATCCATACTATTTCAAATTATTGGGGAATAAAGATTACAAGATTCTAATAGGAAATCGAGTAAACATTACAGTTGGATAGTAAACAATGAGTAGGCGTTACTAACTGGGAATAATTATGAAGCGTACAATAAGCATCACTATTACAAGTGGTACGTGAAGAGGCTGAAAAAAATCATTGACTAATTTCCAAGAATAAAATGACTAACATTTCAATCTGCATAATTGTTACCTGTTTCTGATCCACACAGCACCGTGTGAAACTTGTCCTCCTGGCACTGTGGTCACTTTGAGGTTGAAATACCTCGTTGTAGCTGGTGTGCTCCGTATGGAAACGCACAGAATGCTCATCATCTTCAGGTTTGCCCTGAGGCAAGTCACATTGTGCCATCTCAGTACAGGAAGGGAATGGCAGAGTCAGCAAAAAGGACAGAGCAAATGAAAAAGAAGGAAAACAAAGAGAAAAAAGGAACATGCCAAAGGAAAGGTTTATGCAAAACAGAAAATTTAAATGTGATCCGATTAAAAATAATAGAAGCAAAAAACTGTTCAACAGTTGCAGCAAAATTAATTAGCATCAATTCCGGTTCTAACTAGTTCATGCAGCATATATGCCAGATGAGGTTCAGCTGGTCAGGGCATGAGTGTTCTTTAACTATACTGTGTAACAGTGAGGCAGTGACCTGATCTGGAAGCAAAACTCAATCTGTTGCATAACCAGTGACTTATACAGTTCTGCTGCAAATTTCCAACTCTTATATTCTATGCCTTGGTTAATAAAAGAAAGTATCCCATATGCCATCTGTTATGATTCTAGCAGATGTTATTACTGGGCAAGTCATATCCCAGGCACAAACTTGACTTGATGGATTATATTTAGATTTACTTTGGCCTTGAAAAAGTATTCTCTCACTGAAACATAAGCATGCAATGCTGCAGCATTTGCTTTTGTGAAGATTAACTTTAAATTTAAAGCATTAATTAAGATGATATTCATAACTTTCACCTCCACAAGTTTCCTTTCTGGCCGCTAATCAAACCGATTCTTTCCTGAGTTATATAGATAT